AGCCAACAAAGAGATCTTACCCAGTCTTACCATGCATGTGCCTGGGGCCTTCAGATGTCAGAAGACAGCACTGGATGCCCTGGCATTAGAGTTACAGATCGTTTTGAACCATTATTAGATGCTGGTTGGTTGGTTGGTTGGTTGGTTGGTTGGTTGGTTGGTTGGTTGGCTGGCTGGCTGGCTGGCTGGCTGGCTGGCTGGCTGGCTGGCTGGCTGGTTGGTTGGTTGGCTGGCTGGCTGGTTGGTTGGTTGGTTGGTTGGTTGGCTGGCTGGCTGGTTGGTTGGTTGGTTGGCTGGCTGGCTGGCTGGCTGGTTGGTTGGTTGGTTGGTTTTTGGAGGGGTCTCATTATATAGCCCTGGTTAGCCTGGAACTCACTATATACACCAGGTTGGCCTCTAATGACTCACACAGATCTGCTTGAGTCAGCCTCCCAAGGACTGATATTAAAAGCATGCACAGTCACACCTGGTTTTCTGGTGTTTCTCTGACAGGAAATGTCATGTAGACCAGGTTGACCTTGAACTCTGCACAAAGTTGAGGATGACTGAACTTCTGATCTTCCTGCCTCCATCTCCTTAGTGCTGAGATTACAGGTCTGTTCCAACATGCTGGTCTCAGCCTTTGGGATTTGTATCTAAGCAGTTACCAGTACTGCATTTAAAGGTGGGGGCTGGGAAGCTTAAGTGAGGGTGGGAATGCAGAATTCTGCTTAGGACATGCTAGTAATTCTAAACGCCTGTTAGATATCCAAGCAGAAATATCAGAAAGCTAAAAGAATATATGCATCTGATCTGTAGGAGAAATGTGGCTGAAGACACAGGAGCAAGGGTGACCAGCATTGGCTGGGATCACCCATGGGGCTGGCCAAGGCCTCCTAGAGGAGCTAAGCGCTCACTTTCATCCATCACACTTTTCAACAAGATAAAAACCACGATTCTCTTACTGATACAAAGTGAAGATATGTCGAGAGTTTTCTCAGCATTTTAATTGATGAAAGAAGCTGACAATGCTGAGGCGGACTCAGAATTCACAGGCCAGCAGCAGATGCAGGCCAGCAAGGACGCTTGCTAAGAGACGCCAGACTGCTTAGTGACCCGTAGAGCAACAACTGTTATGTTTGGGATTGTGTCTCCTACGCTGAAAAAAAAAAAAAATCATCTGTCTACTTGGTGTTCCTGTTTGCTATTATAGAACACCATGACGAAAAGCAACTTGGAGAGGAAAAAGTTTATTTATTTGGCTTACAGACTACACCCCATCATCTAAGAGAAAGCCAAGGCAGGAACTGAAACAGAGGCCATGGAGGATGGCTGCTTCCTACCTCACTCAGGCTTGTCCTCGGCCAACCCTCCAACCCTCTTTCGCAGGACCTCTTACCTTCCTGTGGAACGGCCGCCCCCAGGGGCCTGGGACCTCTCACATCCAATAGCAATCGCAAACAGGCCACACAGGCTTGCCTACAGGCCAATTTGATCTGGGCAGTTCTTCAGCAAAGGTGCCCTCTTCCCGCATGACTCTAGGTTGTGTCAGGTTGACAGCTGACGGACATGAGAACAAAGTCTGTGTTGCCTCGTTTGCTGTTTCTGCCATTCAGAATGGCAGTTAAAGGTGACCCCCCCCCAATAGAATAAGATGCTCCCAGACCAGAGGGTCCATTTGGTATATTCCCAGATTTCAGACACATTTGCCCCACGTTACCAATCAAAAGCAATTAACCGTCAGTCAAGTCGCTACCATTGCTCTGTGCTACTAGAATACATCACTGCCAGTGCAGTGCCATACACCTGGGATCCCAGCACCCAGGAGGCTCAGGAAGGAAGATCCTGAGTTCAAGGACAACCTGGGCTACATAGCAATATCCTATAATAGGTAAATCAAAATGAAGTACATCATTAAACAGAATATGTATCCCTGCTCTCTTGACACATCTGTCCTGGTAGAAGATCAATATAGACAGTAAGTAGACACTCTATAGTCTATATAAGGCCCTCTATCTCTGAGAGATGCTCTATAGTCTATGTGGGTCACTCCAAAGTCTAAATAAGGCACAGTCTAGGTGAGAAGGTCATGAGTAGAAAAATAAAAACAAAAAGGCAGATAGATGCACCAATAGAGCTGGTCGAGGTGGTACATGCCTTTAATTGCAGGACTCAGAAGGCAGAGGCAAGAGGCCTTCTATGAGTTTGAGGCTAGCCTTGTCTAGATCGTGAGTTCTAGGACAGCCAAGGTGACATAGAGAGACCCTGTCTCAAAACAAAACAAACCAAAGCACCAAGGGTGCCGGCCCCGGAGCTCAGGAGACAGCTCAGCGGGCAACATGCTGGGGACCAGTGCAAGGGCCAGGGTTGAGATCTCCAACACGCAGAGCGGCAACCGCCTGCAAGCCGGCATTTAGGAGGAGAGCCAGGAGATCCCTGGAGCAAGCTGGTTCTTAGACTAGCCGAATCACATTGTTATGAGTTCCAGTGAGAGAGCCTGCCTCAGGGAAGAGCACCCGGTACCAATTCCACACACTTGCACACTCATGCACACCCCCCACATGAACATCTCACACACACACAGGTGCAATCTCATTTTAAACAGAAATGACTAGTGTAATCATAATTAAGGAATTGGCATCTTATACCACATATACCCATAGAGAAACATCACCTAGCGCTTCCTAAATGCATACACCTTTATGTGTCAATTTAATAATTTCTATTTTAAAAAATTGATTTACCTTTGAGCAACAGTCTTGAAGGAGGCAAGGGAATTAGCCTTAAGATATTTAAGAGAAGACTGCTTAGTACATTAAGGAGTAGAGAAGGGGTTAATTTTTTTTAACAGCAAAGGAAAAAAACCTGTAAGTCAAAAAAAAAAAAAAATCAGAATCTCAGAGGGAGTCGAAACAGTTTGTTTTGTGGCAGCAGCGTGTTCTTTCAAGTTCTCAGCGCGTGCACGGTGAGCGTGGGTATGAGATGAACGTGGAATCCGAAGAGTAATTATGACGCCCCTAATCTTTTCACCCTCTAGAATGAAAGCCGACACTCCTCTTTCATTAGAAGAGGCTTCCATCTGCCTTGCTACACCACCCACAAAGAATCAGACCACGTGTGTGACAATACTAAAAGCGAAAATTAAAATTTCAGTAGTAAATAGCAATTCAAAAATAGGTTTCTTGAAAGAGAATTTGCTTGTGAATGGAAGCACGGCTCCAAGTAGACCCGGGACTCCCTCCCGCTCTGATTTACAAAGCTTCACCTTGTAAACAGGGGGAAATGCAGTTTTGTTTCTCTGCCCTTAGTGTGTGAGGGCAGGGAGCGGGCCTTCGAAATTTTCTCTTTAATCCACACTGTGTACAGCCCAGCCTTCTGACGTGGGCGAAGACCCCTGAAGTCCAGCTTTCTCCAGTGACAAAGGGTCTCTTTCTTTCCCATCTTGTCAAACGTAACCACCTGCAGATAAAGTCATTTGCTCTTTTGCCTCACGTGAGGCTATTTCTTTTTGCCAGCTGACTAACAGTTCCTAGGGCAGGCTAGGATTAATCACTCAGACTCTGAGATCTTTCAGGCCAACCTGGACTGGATATTAGAAACAATAAAATCCACCATCCACCCCAAAACAAAAAACCTCCCACTGGGCAAGGAGGGTGCCAGGACTCGACCACGTGGAAAGAGCAGTGCGCGCCTCAGGAGAGGATGCAGTGGGTATGAGTGCTGCCGTATAGGCGTGAGGACCTGGGTTCGAGCCCAGCACCCACATAAAAGCTGCACAACGCTGGTGTGAGCGGGTAGCAGGGGGAGGAATGACGGCACAGGAGGACCCCTGGCACTTGGCCGCCAACCAGATTAGCTAAAATCGGCAAGACTAGAGGTTCAATGAGTGACCTGCCTGGAAGCATAAGGTGGTGGAGAACAATCAGTGGAGACACCCAGTGTCGACCTCTGTCCTCCCATGCATGCACACGTATGTGCATGATCAGGGACAGCACGTGCACAGGAACAGTTTGGCGGATGTCATGAGAGACCCTGGATTCCTCAGACTCGGGAGACTTTCATGTATCTCCCTAAACCAGAAGTGGTTGATGCTGGTTTCTGTTTGCTTCTACCCCAAATGTGAGTGCAGTTCATTGCCTCCTACCAGGCATCCCCTCTGCCTCCCACACACTTAACCCGAAGAACTGAAGTCCACCCCACGTTTGCCTTCTAGTGACTGTGAGCCTTGAATGCCAGTTTTCTACCCAGGGACTTCGGGTCTCCCCAAACACTGTGCTCTTATCACCAGAATGGTGCTTTAATTGGCCACCTCTGCATAGTCAAGTTTAATCAGCCTGTGCCAAAAGAAGGAAGAGAGAAGAGAAAGAGGAGGAGGAAGAGGAGAAAGAAAAGGAGAAGAAAGAACAGGAGAAGGGGAAAGCTGCTTGCCCTTCTCATATGTCTGGAAATTCAAGAGCTGAAGGCAGAGGTAGTCCCCAGCGACACTCAGGAGCTGCAGGCTGAAACCCACTAAGACTTTCAGACAGGCTGGCCAGAGCGGCAGAACAAATGTCAAGGGATATTTGCTGCAAAGAGGCTCCAAAAATAATGTAAAATTGTTCTGTCCTTTTAAAAATGGAAAATGCCTTGGCAGGGTGATGTATTGTTTGCCTGGCTGCATTTTCTCTCTGTCTCAGTCAAGGCTTGAAAAGTGCTGGTAGTTCTGCCTCGTCAAGCGGAGCCCGGTGGAACTGGACCACATCTAATGCCTGTGCCATGCAAATGAAGATTGAGACTGTTGTGTCCTTTGGTGTATGTGACTAAATGTTCAGAGGGGATATTTTCCCTTCGATCCTCTGGTGGATAGAGGCTCTTTAAAAATACCTGTTGGCTCCCTCTTTCCATTGGCAATAGATGTGACTCTTGTGCAAGAGAGGAGGCTGTGAAGGCTGTGATGAATGGCTCTCCCTGGGAAGAACGCTCTTTCTGTGTTTGCCACAGTGGGCAAAGTTCAGGAGGAAATCAAGGAGTGTGAAAGGCACGTTGGGGTGGGTTTCTGCAGCAAGCCACGCAGGCTTGCTGGAAGGGTCCAGAGAGCGCTTTCCCAGGGCAGAACTGGACTTGCAGGTGAGTCATGGCTAGGATTCCCAGGGGGCTCTCTCCTAGCCCTTTGCACCCAATAGTGGACAGGGTCTAGGGAAGCTACAATGGGAGTGGCTGAGCGGGAGAAGCCAGCCCTTGCACAAGCTGACCTATTCAGTCTCATCCTTTGCTCTCCCTGCCAAGAGGCAGAATGATCTGGATTGTGCCGGGAGAATCTGAACGCTTGTCTGTTTTGAGGAAGTCTGTGGAAACACACATGCAGAAATCAATAGCTCTGAGCACCATCAGAGCTGCAAGCCGCCAAATTGGCTGTGCTGGGTGCTTGGAGCCACATTCATAATGAAAGAAAGCATGCTGACCGTCCCCGCCCGACTCCTCCTCCAGTGCCCATATTTAACAAGGCACTCTGCAAGGAAGATTCTGTTTAAAAGCAGGAAAAACAATCTATAAACTCTGGTTCGGGCCATTAATTAATTTTTAATGTCTCTCCCATCTTCCTTTCTTTTTCTGGTGAATATTTGCACATGTCACTCAGAGAGGACATAGGGTACACTTTACTCTGATGGTGGGACATTAGACAATAGCTCCCTTTCCTGGGAAGATGTAAGACAAATGCCAGTTCACCCCAGACAGAGATGCAAGGGCAGAGCACGTGGGATTCCAGCAACGTCCAACCTGTAAACCCGTTAGTTTTTCAGGGTTGTTTACAGGGCTAGGGGTGGATTGGGGGTGACTGGCAGGAGGACGGGTGGATGAGGGGGTACCTACAGGAGGACGGGTGGATGAGGGGGTACCTACAGGAGGACGGGTGGATGAGGGGGTACCTACAGGAGGATGGGTGGGTTAGGGGTACCTACAGGAGGATCCGTGGGTGGGGTTGCTTACAGGAGCACCGATGACTCAAAGGCAGCTGCACCACCAAAACACCCACCAACACCCACCAACACAGGTGACAACCTACAAAGCTGAAGCCTGGGGCACCTGGGAAGCAGCGTGGCTGGTCTGCTTGAAGAAATGGTTGCCAGGTACAGCTGCCTCTTCCCTTCTCCCCAGCCGCTGCTCAGCCCTGGGGAGGGACCTTGGGGATGTGCTATGTCTCAGCTCCCTGGGATTTGTAAAGTTGTTTACCCACGGAGTCTCATGAGCCTCCTTCCTCCTTTCAGAAAGGAGTATTTCAATTCTGAGGAAATCACTACCTAACACTCTGTGACACTCCACCCGTAATCCCCAACACGCCTCCCTCCCACCTTCCTTTCCTCTGTTTCCTCAGAGGCAGACCACTGTCTGGTGGGACGCAAACGCACACTGGCCCCAAACTGCATCCACGCCCTCCCGTCGCTCCCGCTGGATCGCGCAACACCACTGAACGCCAGGTACCTCATCTGCAGGGCTGGTACCTCCTGCCCTTCTGTCTTCGCGCGTCCCTGAGATGCCCCCACAGGCGGTGTGGCCGCGCTTCCTAAAACTGGGTAGTTCCCGACCCAGACCCTGAGCATCCTTCTCTGAAGTCTGGGCAGATAAGTGTGGTTCTCGCCCCTCAGCTCAGAAACTTCTCTTCGCAATAGCTGGAGACCATTACAGAAAACCACAGCCAATCAAAACGCAGGGTTGCGGAGCACAGGGCCTGTCTACAACACTGCCCAGACCTGTGAGGCTCAGGGATCATTTTGGAAGAGGGGGGCAGAAAGACTGTAAGAGCCAGAGGAGCAGGGGGCTGTCAGAGGCCACACTCATGAAGTCTCATCAACATGGCTGCCAAGCATGACCTGAACAAAGACGCGGACACACATGCTACTGGGATGACCTTCCGGCACATTGTATGAAGCAGGAGAAGGTCATCCCAGCACAGGCAATATGGACAGAGGAGCGCTCACGAGGCCTCAACTCTAAACAGAGACCTCAGGCAATTAAGGAATGCCGAGAGAGGGACAAAGAGTCTTTCCCGGGAGAGAGCCCACCAAACAGCTACCTAACACCAAATTGTCAGCCCTGAAAATACATGTATTTATATGTATAAATACATGTATACATGCATACAAGTAACATTATACAGATCCAGCAGGTTGTATTTTGGTATTATATATATATATATATATTTGGTATTTAGATATATGTTGCTGAAATTAATATAAAATATTATATTACTATAGTATATATTAATATTTTATATTGTATATATAACAATATACTTATTGTTGATATAGGTTTATACATGATTTAAGTATTAACAATTAATGGAAAAGGGGCCAAAAAATTTAAAATTAGAGAAAAGGTGGGTACATGGGAGGGTATGGAGAGAGGAAAGATAAAGGGAAAATAATATAATTACATTATCTGAAAACACTTCGGTTTTGGTTTCGGTTTATTTTAAAGGGAGGAGAGTGTCTACGGGGCTCTGTCTCGGGAAGCAGGGGAGCCTCTGCCGGGAGAACCTGCTTCAAGAATGACTTTATGTTAGGAGGAACACAGAGTGTTTCTCTGGGAAGCAGAGTGGGCGGTGGCCATAGCATGCAAAGTCTGGAAGATTTCCAGCAACTCCGGACTGGCTGCAGCCTGGGCCCTGCCAGCCCAAGCGCTGGGGCAGGGAAGTGCCAGCTAACAGGCTGTACACAGGAAGACGGACGAGGTTGCTCCCTCTGACTGACAGCAGCGAACTGCCAAGACATATGGCGACATGAAAAAAACCCAGGTGTGAAAGAACTGGCTGTGAGCATTTTTTAAAGCAGTGGGAAGTCCAGGTGGCGGCACACACCTATAATCCCAGCACTCGGGAAGCTGAAGCAAGAGCATTGAGAAGCCCCAGCTAGCCTGGGCTACATAGTCAAATCTTGTCTCAAAACAACAACAAGAAAAAAAAAAAAAAAAAAAAAAAAAACCCAGAGAGGTTTACAAATGCCTGTGAATTAAAGTCCTGGGATCCCAGAGTCAGGAGGAAGAGAGAGACCTCTTGCTAAAACCTCTCCACACGATGAGATTTCCTTTCAGTATGCATGCAGTTTCCTCTTTTATATTTTTAAGTGTGTCATTTTTAAAAGCAGTAATTCTGTTTTTAAAATTAATTCTCATTATTCAAAGGATGTTTTTTTTTTTTTTTCTGAAGAAAAATGAAAGATAAGAAAACCACAAACTATTAGGTGATATTAAAGGATGGTATTTTGGGCAATCACGCACAGTAACTGAGTGATCCTGAAGCTGGAAGTTTAATTTTCCTTAGCATCTGAAAATTGTTTATCTGATATTCCTACCTATGTGAAAAGGGATAAAAGCATCAGGCAACACAGCCTGGGAGAATCTACCTACACATGACATTTAACTGTAAGAGCTTAGCTCCAAGAAAAAAAAAAGAGGGAAGAGACAAAATAAAGGAGTGGGAGAGATGGCTCAGTGGTTAAGAGCACTGGCTGCTCCTCCAAAGAAGGCAGGTTTGGGTTCCAGCAGCCAGGTAACTCCTATTTCAAGGGATCTGATGCCCCCTTCTGGCCTCCACAGGCACTGCATCCACATGGTGCACACACATATGTAGGCAAACATATACAAGAATAAATAAATACATACATAAATAAACAAATGAGAATCTGAATTTTTAAAGTCTTTTTTAAGCTTTCCAAATAATACAATCATTATTTCTTTTTTAGTTTTTTTTTTTTTTTTTTTTGGATGTATGAGTATTTTGCTTGGTTATACATTTGTGCCCTATTGTTCATGCCTGGTGTCCATGGAGATCAGAAGAGGGCATCATACCTCCTAAAACTAGAGTTACATAGGGTTGTGAGCCACCATGTGGGTACTGGAAACTGAACCTGGGTCCTCTGGAAGAGCAGCCAGTGCTCTTCACCTCTGAACCGTCTCAGCCCCAATCACTAATTAATAAGGTGTGGTGATCCCAGGACTCGAGAGATTAGGGCAGGATGACTGTTAAGTCCCAGAATTGCTGATTATGGTAGCAGATGCCTTTAATCCCAGCACCCAGAAGGAAGAAGCAGGAAGACCCACGTGAGTTCGAGGCCCGCCTGTTCTACATAGTGGGTTCCAGGACAGTAAGACTCTTAAACAACAACAAGTGTGAAATCTTGTGCTGCAGAGTGAGTTTTCAGCAGCCTGCATGAAGTGAGACCCTATCTATCTCAAAACAAACCAGAGGCTGGTGAGATGGCTCGGCAGCTAACACGAGCCTGATGGTGGAGTCTCTAGAACCACGAAGGAAGGAGAGAACCAACTCCTGAACATTGTCCCCTGACCCCCTCATACAGCACCGTGCACACACAATACATAAACACAAAAACAGAATGAAGAATTGGGTTAGAGGTCCATCCTAGCAGTGACTCTGCCTGCGGAGGCCCGAGGGCGGCTGCCGGAGAGCATGGAGGCGAAGGGTGACCAGGGAAGGAGGAAGCGGTGTCCCAGCTGCAATAGCTGTAAGAGCTGAGATGGAAGAGGGAGACAGAAGACAAAGGGAGAACTGGGCTCTTCTTGTTTTCAAAGATGGCAGCCATATGGTTGTGTCTCCAGGCTGACTGGAAGAAGGTTTTAATGGAGTATTTAAGGTACAGAATCAAGCTTTTTGTCTTCTTGTTGCAAATGAGATCACATGAGCTGGCTCTGTGTATCTTCTCTGTGAGAAGTATACAGTAGGCATTTAGCACTCAGGAGAGCTCTCACTGTCTGCACCTGACTCAGGATGAGGCCCAGCATAAGCACGACATGCAACTTTGTCCAACCATGAGACTCACCCCCAGCCTCCGATGAGAAGAACCCACACTCCTGTGCCAAGACTTCCCCACTGTGATGGACGAGACCCCCAAACTGTAGACCAAAGGAAGGCTTTTCTCCCCTTAGCTGCTTCCATCGGGTTACAGTGATGAGACAAGTACCTAATGCATACAGAGATAATAGAGTCTAAAATATACATATCAGCCAGACATGGAGACACACACCTTTAATCCCAGCACTCAGGAGGCTGTGGCTGGTGGATCTCTGAGTTTAAGGCCAGCCTGGTCTACATGGTGAGTTCAGGCCAGCCAGAGCTACACAGAGAGACCTGTTAGACATATCAGGTAGTAGAAGACATGAAACAAGGTGGTGAGGGGAGAGGGGTGCAGTATGAAGGGCAGAGTTATAAGTGTAAACACAGCTGTAAGCAAAGGATACTGGGGAGGAGCTTTCTGGGCAGAGGGAAAAGCTATGGCACAGACCCTGAGGCAGACTTTCCCTGAGGAGGGGAGAACAGCACTGTGGCCACTGATCCAACAAAGGAGAAAGAAAGAAAGGCCCTGAGCTTTCAAAGATGACCACGGTCCCTAACTACTACTCCTCCTCTCCCTCCTCTTCTTCTTCCTCTTCCTCCTCCTTCTCCTCTCTGTCCCTCCCTCTCCCTTTCTCTCTCCCTTCCCTTTTTCCTCCCTCTCTCCCCTCCCTATCCCTCACTCCTCTTCCATCTCTGCTCCTCTCTCTCCCCTCCTTCTTCCCCTCCTCTCTCTCTCTTCCCTCCCCACCTCTCTCTCTCTCCTTGCTTTCCTTTACCCCTCCCTCTGCAGCAACCCTGAGTTGATCGCCTTTGCTCGGTCACAGGTCCCCAGTGCATAGCAAACCACAAGCCAAAAAAGGGAGGGGCCGAGGGACTGTCATGTAGTTCAGGCCAACCTTAAACAGCCTATGCAGCTGGAGGTGGCCTTAAACTCCCAGTCCTCCTGCTTTCACCTCTTGGTTCTGGCGTCGCAGGTGGGCAGCCCACATCTCAAGACAGGCTTTGTGTGAACTGGCCACACCCTGTCCTTTTATGATTTGTTTTGTTTTGTTTTGCTTCAAGACAGTCTCGCTCTATAGTCCAGGCTCTCCTGGAACTTGCTATGTAGCCCAGACTGGCATCAGACTTGAAGCGATCCTCCTGCCTCATTGTCCTGAGCGTTGGGATAATATTGTGAGCTGACAATATTATCAGATAACTGTTATCTGATAACAGTTAATAATTATCAGATAACATTATCAGAACCCAGATAACTGTTTCTCACTTTAAGAAAACTTTCTCAGGAACGTGCCCGGTTGATGGAGGGTTGATAGCATACTGGATGAACGCTGGTAATGTGGCAGCTGTGAGTTCTGTAAGGAGACTAAAATTCGGCTACAACACAGCCCATTGCTTTCCATGACCACAGTCTGCATGTGCTGCTCAAAGGAGAAGCAAAGGGGTGATTTCAGAGATGGCCTTTGCCACTCATTGCTGGTTTTTCTGGCTGTGAAGGGTCCCACAAAGGCATGACAAGTTTCAGAAGTCAGGCCAGTTAGACGTGGGTTGTTTGGAGTAAGAGACATTCTTGTTTGGCAGGCTACATGCCTAGATCAAAGAAGGGCCCTTGAGCTACACCAATAGCATCTAGGAACTGATTTAGCCTAGCTGCATGTGTGAGGTGCTGGTCCACCTCACTGAGTCAGAAATGCCAGGGAAAGCCAGCCGAGTTGGTGTGTGCCTCCCATTGCAGAGTCCTCTGCAAGAGCAACAAGGGCCCTCAACCCCTAAGCCAGTTCACCAGTCTCTGTGTGCTGTGTTTTTCCTCACTGCGGCACCAAGGCACCTCACAACAGCGAGGAGGGAAGGACTTATGCCGGCCATGGTTTAAGGCTGCAGTTCATCACAGAAGGGAGCCCATGGTTTGTGTCAGGATGCTCACTGGAGGCATGTAAGTAGGGCGTCACAGCTCCAAAGTCCAGCTGACTGCACACTTGTGTCTCTTTGCCTTGGCAAGAATCACACAACCGAACAACAATAGGCTTTCTCCGATGGCAACACCAGGACGCTCCCCATCACGGGAAGTTCTGTGTAGAGGGGAGACTGCAAAGATGCCAAGTGTTGTTGCCTTCTAAACAGTCAAACACAAGGCTGG